CCTAAATAATCGTTTTTTCTTTCTAAAATGACTTCAAATTGTAACATAAAACTACATTCATGTATCCTAAGTAGCTCTAAGTTCATAACATTATACATCTATTCATAATAAATTTTATTATTTTATTGCCCTTTGAATCATGTCTAACTAATATCAGCACCATTATAAGTTGTAAATCACTTGGGGAATGTACAGCTCATGTTATGCTATTGTATTACATTACCAACAAGCTGCTCAGAGGCATGCTTCATGAACAATTTTAATTATATTATTATTGTTACTTATTTTATCATATTATCAGTTTCAATTTCCTTTCATAGTTTTTTCTCACTCCTAACAGGAACATGGGATTCAATATTGCTTTACAACTTTGAATTTTTTTCTGGATTATTTACGGGTTACGGGTGAAAGGTCATATCATCTTGTTTGTTGACTTGCATTCAAACTTTTATTGAACTACTGTTTAATAATTTTATGTCAGTAAATTTGGTATCAAACTGTAGATTCTAATTTAGTACTATACATTACTCAGTTTCTTAATTTAAGAATTGACCAATCCCGTTTTGAGATAGGGTAGAGAAAATAACAGATAAACTATATGTCTTTACTGAAAAAAACGTTTTAAATGCATTTAGGAAGTTTTACTTTTAGGGATTACACAAAGGAAATTTGAGATTTTTGAAATGAGGAAGAGTATTTTTAACTTTAACATGAAAATTACTTTGCACACGGACTATTCAAAACAAATACTGAATATATTCATGGACAAATATTTATTTTATTTTATGAAAAATACTTCACTAAGAAATATGAGTTTTTGTATATGAAAGACTTGTAATATTAACTGAAAGACTGCCAAATTTCATGAAGATATACCCAATATATTGAGAGTTGTAAGTATTAAACTTATAAAGACTTTAAATGAGTACCAAAGGTCACATGACTTGGTCAAATTAACCGACCCTGTACTGAGAGGGTTAATATGTCAACAGCATTTTATTGAAACTAAGCATGCTGATTATACCATTGAATGCTTACAAATATATTATGGAAAACACTTAAAATCGTTTTTGATAAAAAGAATGACTCCATAACCCATACATAAAACATATTGGCTGTCAATGTTTGTCGATAACTTTTGAAATCCAGAATACCAGCCTTGACTTTCACTACACCATTTTTGCTTTCACTGGTCATCTCTGCCTTCACCAGTTCTCATAGACAAATTGATATCAAGACTAATATCCTAATACAGTTATTATTAAGCTCATTTTGATTAAAATAATTTTCATGAGGGGGGCAAAGAGGGATACTAATCTAATATTCTTGAACACACCAGTTGAAGAAAGTTTCTTTCCATTTAAAACTAAACACCTGCCATGAACAAAATAAAACCAAAATAATAAAGTTGCATATGTTATATATCATGGAACCTGATAATCTTGTCTACTACTACTACTGTGATATTGAACTAGACATAAGAACAACTATATAGTAATCATCTGAATGTTATGGTGAGAAAAACTTGGCATTTGTTGTTTCTTCAGAAACTGAGAAGAGTAAGCACATTTATAATTCATATACATAATGACTTCCTATCCAGTGTACTCAATTAACAAAGAGAATCAAAGACGTCTTGATGTGTAACCTTCTTTAAAGATTTCTTGGAATAGCAATACATGACAGGTATTGAATGTATTTCTATTCTTGAGACTTGAAGATATGATATCTGACGTGTCACTGATTTTGAAGATAGATAGTAAGAAATGTTAAAGTAATGCTCACAGATATTTCATATAACAACTTGTTTCATTATTTCTTGCAACTGTGATGATGATTAACAGTACTTGGCCTGTATTATAAACTGGTTCCATAGTTCCTATCTCTTGTTATTTTCACTCTATGTCTTTTCACCTTGTACTCTGATGTGTAGGTTTAGTCTGAAGTTAATGTGAATTTAGCAGCTTATACATTTAATAAAACCACAACTTAGATAAGTCTTGGTATTCTGAGTTGCATGTATGGATAAATATGGCCAAATATCATGTCCCAAGGCAGTTTAGGAAAGTACATGAAGCACCTGACTCTTGTAGTATCATTAGCCATTCTTACACAAAGCTTCTCAAAAGTTTTCAACTGCACTTAATTGATACTGAAACACAAGAAGCTGTGAGTATACATACTGTTACATTACATGCATCACAAATCTTGCAACAATATGTGATGAATGATAAACATAAAAGTGGCAAAATGTATGAACTGCAGCTTCTAAACTGTAATGTTTGTAACCAATATCAACCTCAAATGTCCATGTGAGAGTAGTCATATGTCCAAAAACACATAAATAATGTACAATAGCATTGTTTTTAATCCATTTTGAATGTTTTCTTAATGTAACAGCAATCATTAGTTAATTATTGTTTACCATATACCAACTGACTCTATTGTCATTTTTTTCATTTAAAGAAACCTCTACAGGTTTATTTGCTTATGGCCCATTTGGTGGAGAAATTGGAGGAGTTTTATTGACTGTAAGTTATTATTTTCTCAAAACGAATAGATTGAACTGTGGTAAGGAATTAAAATGTATGGCTCTCCTTTTAAGACTTTGAAGTAATTCCAGAAGGTAAGGTGAAAGTATCATTTGTTTCAAAGTATGTTTATGTACGACACTATGTAGTTTTGTGTGATACATTGTCTCTGCTCTGCAGCAACACCTGTTATAATAGCCTACAAGAAAAAGGAAACCTGTAGCAGACCACATAGATGATTGACCAGCTGTAACGGAAAAGGTGTAGTGTGTGATAGACCAAAATAAAAAGGTGCTAGAAAAAGACAATCCAGTTTTTGTCTCCTGGATTGTATTCATCCTCAAAAACATTGTTAGGTTGAAAATGAGAAGAAATTGCTGGCCAATCTTAGGAATCTCCCTAAGTACATTAAGGCCTGTACCTCTTTAGCAGATAAAGTCAAACCCAATACCTGGATAGTCATAACATAAGCCTTGTCTACCATAACGGGAATTTCCATTGTCAATAGATTGAATTGCAAAGTCATTCTAAGTTATCATATAATTCGGTAACAATAAACAAATATAAAAAAAAAGAAAACAATTGAATGCAAAGAGTAAAAGAAAACTGGTGATAAATGTATTGAAATGTCATTGAAGTACAAATGTAAATGGTAGTCACATGTGAAAAAACACGTGTCTAAATGATGCTGTGTCAGTTGAGAAAGTGAGGATTGAGTGGGAACATTACAGGAAGCTAGTTGCACCAATATAGGTGCCACACTACAACTGGTGGTAGGTGGTCACACGTAATATACATTTTCAAAAGTGGTGCGAAATTTGTGGGGAATACAGACAGGTGTACTAAGCATTAAAGATTTTTAGCAATGCATAGGGAAGGACCGTATTGGAATCATAAAATTACCACTAATTTTAAAGAACTTTATTTTTTACTTTCACCATACAAATAATGTAACTCACATGCTTTAAGAAGTTCTTTAGACCTACAGCTGTTATCACTGCACTCGTTGTTGCAGATATGTAAGCAAATGCAATTTTCCTAAAAACAGATAAAAAAAAATTTGGTAAATATATATCAAATAGTGTTACAGAAATGAAATAGGTATGATTATATATATACATAGAAAATACATATGCTTTACAGTTTCTGTCTATAGATAAAAGATATTCTTTTGATTTACATAATTCAACCATATTATCTAGCACAAAACCTGAAATATTCAGTCTTCATATATGATGTTCATAACATTAACCAATGTATTTAAAAAATATACAAAACAATACATACAAGTAATATGAATAACAAATAAATTCAGCTACAACATGATGAGCATGAATATATAAAAAAATAATCAAATTTGTTGTAAGGGGAGAATTACATGGTGATTATTTTGGCCAAATGACCTTCATTAGGGCACACCATATCCAAATCAAAATAAAAGAAGGTATTGATACACAGAAATGGAAGTATATTTCCAAATCACAGTTAGATGAGATTCAACATAAAGAAAGTACAAAAGTATTGAAACAAAGAAAATACAAGAAACATCCAGTTTTGAAGGAATCAATAAGAGAACATAAGTGCATTATGGAAGGAATGTAAAAAACAACAAATAAAATGAATAACAAAACAATAAAAAATTAAAGTACAACAAATAGATTGTTTGTATTTTTTAGCAAAGTCACACTGGGTTATCTGCTGTGTCCATCATAAGGTATCAAACCTCAGATTTTAGCACTGTAACTCTGTGATCTTACCACTGTCCCACTAGGGGGCAAACAAATAGAATTTAATAAAAATCATAAATAATAGGTAATGAAATCAAACTTAGAAAGAAGAATGAAAAACAAAATAATAATATTTTAAATATACAAAATGCTGGTAGTAAAATCAAATCCAATACATGAAAAGTGTCAGTAGAGGTTGTCTGGAGCTGGAAAACTACCCAGGGGCATTATTTTCTTTAAATGTTTAAAAATGTTCACCCCCACAAAAATTTAAAATATACAGATTTTTCAGCATTGAGTTAAGCTTATTTTACAATTCTTCATCATGTGAGTCTATAACCAAGTTAATTTCTTAGTTTTTACTGTTTATTCTCACTTGTAAAGGAATGTGTTTTTTCAGAATTTGATGGTACTGTTTCTAATGTATAAAATGTCAAGCAAGTGTTCACCCCACCACAAAAAACAAAATAGGAATAGTTTTCTTAGATAAAAAGTAACTTCATACTATCAAGTGACTAATGGACTGAGTGAAGTTTATCTCTTTTAAACAGTTTAAGCATTTGTTGGATAAACTTCAGATTCAGCTAGTAGAATTTAAGGATACCCTACAACAAATACTCCCTAAGAAGACTTTGCCAATGGCAGCATCATAAATACACTAATTTTACATATACTCAGAACAACACAAACAATAGTAGTAATGGATTACATAATTTCACATGATAGGTATAACAACAAATTAAAATTAGTTGTAGCATATCTACATTGTATGAAAGATAGCCAGAAAAAAAAGGTGTAACTGAATTAGAAGACCATTTATCAAAAGTTCTATCTGAAACCCTTATTTCAGTTAGTTGGAGTAACATAAACAAAAAGGCCTGGAAAACAAAAATAAAATCAGTTTTAAATGATACACTTACCAAATTAATGAACAATAATTATGCATTTCACTAAATTACAGGATTGTCAAAGGACTACTGTTCAATATCAATAATAATATAATATTGACATGGGTAATACAAATAGACATTCATCCCACTACTGCAGAAATAAACTTGTGAATGCAACAGAATTTATTGCAATTAAATTTCATTATACAGAAATGCAGAACTGAGTTAATGAGAGTGGTATAAGCTTTAAGGTATAAGAACTTATAAAAAATTAAATACGTACTTTTCCTCCCTCAGGTAAACTAAAACTGATTTGAGCAGCAGTTGAAATGAAACAGTGGTGAGATATTCTTTTGAACTGCTGACACCAAGTCCCTCAAACTTTATTTCATATGCAAGTGTCATGCATCATTAAGTCAAATTCACACTTGAATATTCTTACGGACAAATACATTTTCTTGATGTCACTGTATCATTAAAAAGATAGCTTCTACAAACTGGTTTATGCAAATAGACAGACCACAATATCTCCACTACCAAGCATGTGATCTGGCCAAATCAAATAACATATTAATTCCAATCAACTCCTTCACATGAAAAAGATATGAACTGACAGTAGTGATGACAAAATACACACCAAGATGCTAAAAAATAACCAGAAAACAAAGAAGTTATAAACTATGTGAAATAGGAAAACAAACTAAAAAACTGACAAAATTTCACATGTTGATGCCCTCAACCAGTCCCCAAGCATTTTAAGAGTTCCTCGGTTATCACATATTACCAAAAACTTATAAATGCTTCACAAATTCTTACAAAACATTTACATCTTTTAAAGTTCAGTGAATGCCTGAGAAAATCTTCTCCAAAATTCCTATTGTTTCATTCTGAAAAAACAAAAGCCATACAAATATCATCATTTACACATAAGTGAATTATACTGTCACAAAATGAACATTCCCCTTGTAATAAAATCAAATTTCATACTTTTAAGTTTATAAAATCATGAGTATTTTCTTTGATCAACATTGAAAAACCCATCACAGCATAATAAAACAAATATGTTTTAAAAATCAAAACACAGTTCAATAACTGCAATTATCAGTAAGTTGTACAAACCCAGACTATTCTTATAGAACAGTTAATTAACCATAAATCCTCTGTCAAGACTAAGAAAAGGCCTTCCAGGTGCTCTACACTTTAATCAGCTTGACCACTCCACCAGTGACATAGTTCTCATTGGTGTTGAAATTGTATTTAAATCAAGAATTGACACAGAAATAAAAGAAAGGCCTACTGAATCAACATTTTAAACACCTCATACAACATGAACCTTGACCACAGTATTAATATCCCTCTTTTAACTTAAAATCTTTCTGAAAACTCTCAGAAAATTCTGTTTTGAAACTAATTTCTGTACTATCTGGAGTACCCATCCATTGGATGAGTGAAATATAAACTCATTTGTAATAGGATAGGAAATTGTGCTTCTACAATTTTTTTATTAACATAATAAACATTAAAAGTGCAATAAAAATACATAAAGGTACCAATACTGTTTTCAAGAATTCTAATTACAGTGGTTACATAATTCATTCTAATGCTGGGGGATATACATGTCATCTTGTATCACTGTGTCACGTTTGGTATTAATTGATCAAGAAATGTGGAAACGTATAAGGAATAGATACACACACATATATATATATACTGTCATTTATTTATATAGATATATATAGGGGTCCAACCCCACCCCAACCACACACGACCTTCCTAATGTCATCCTGTATCACAGTGTCAAGTTTGGTGCTGATTGATCAAGAAAAGTGGAAATGTGTAAGGAACAGATACACACACACATATTGACATTTATTTATATAGCTAATACTTTACTTTCTATTTTGTGGTCTCAGTTATATATATATTGAACAATTATTATTGAATTTCATTTCTCAAATGTTTTATTAATATTTTGCTCTTTATAGTTCCTTTATCAATACGTGCTTTTGTTGATAAATCTCCCAGTTCTTCTGGGCATAACATCTTGCACACACATATATATTCTTGTAACCTGTTATTACTTCAATACTACTCTTTCTTTTCATTTGCATCTTACATACACAATGCTACTTCACTTTTAGGTCATATTCTTAGAAAAACACAATGTCTCATCTCTGGTTCAATGACCACATAACTGATCAACATGCATGAATGGACAAATCAGTATTTGTTTTTGTCATGCAGTAACTTTTACAGCTACCACACTGACATTTAATTATGTACTGTTCCTTGAGAGAAAAAACAAAATGGGAGACTTGTATGAAACTTATACAATTATCTCTCAGCCACTTTATTTGAACTGGATTAGAATCCTTGGTATTTGGCTTTACTATGTACTAGACAAGTAGAGTCAACAGTAATGTTTTTTTTTTTTACTTCACAGGTAGAAGAAAGGCAGAATTATTTCAAAACCTGAGACTCTCAGTTAAAAAAATTGTTATCCAAAATGTACAGCTCATGGATGAGAAAATAAGTTTACTCTCAAATTATATAAGTTCTACTAAATACATATAATCCCAAAGATAAATATAAGAAGTATCATACTGCATCAAACTTAAGCCAAAGCAGAAAGGTCCTTTCAAGAAGATAGGCACTACTTCTGAAGATCTTAACCCCATGTGAGGTAAAGATTAACTACTGACAAATTTAAGGAACATTTAGAACATGAAATAGAGAAATTGAAACCAAACATGTAGATTAAATAATTCTCTGCTCATAGCTCTGCACTAGTTAACTTATGTTAATAAGCATACTTTTACACAAGTACAAAAATGAAGTTCTTAAAGATGTGGAAGTAACAAAAGTTCACTAGCCTTCAACAACTGCTCTTAGTTACATCATACATACTTATTTTCTTAGCTTTCAACTGTATAAATGTGATAGTGCTTGAGCTAGTAAAAGGATGAAAGCTAGACTAAACACCACTAGTGAACCTACACACCTCCAGTCGATATTGCATTGGTACACACAAATATACTTCATTATTGCCTAATAAAGTTATATAAGTGAAAGAACATTTGCAGTAACACCAACCATGAGGTGATCAAAAGACATGACACTAATTTCCTGCTACAGCAATTGTAATACTAAGTCTCCGAGATAGTTTAATGATGAAAAGGTGCTATCTAGTTACTTATGTAATGTTTATTGCAATATAGTTCATAATTCAAAAGCCATGACACTGTAAAATGCTCATTATTTGTTAAATTTGTATACATTTATGTCTTAATGAGAATAGGACTGTATCAGGTGTTTAACACCTGGCTAATATACCGCATTGTATCTGCATTCCACCAAACTAATATAAACCTCTATAAATAAACGTCCATATGTGTGTGAATGTATCTGTTCCTTGTACGTTTCCAAATTTTTTGATCAGTCAGCACCAAACTTCACACAGTGATATGGGTTGATATGAGGAAGGTCATGAGGTGGACCCCCTTATCTGATTTCATATTGATAGAATTCTTGAAAACAGTATATCTTTCTTTTCAGTATTGGTACTTTTACGTATTTTTATTGCACCTTTCATGTTTATTATGTTAAGAAAAAAAATAGAAACACAATTTCCTATCCTTTGTTACAAACAAGTTTTTATTTCACCCATTCCAACAGATACGTACTCCATCTAGTAAGTAATGTAACTTGAGTCAAAAATTAGTTGAATGCAATATAGTACAGAAAAATATTGGTGATCAGTGATCAACAGTAGTTTGGATTATTTTTCTCAATTCCATCTTCTTGAAATATATAAATAATATGTGATTATTGAGAAAAATAAGACACAAGTATAAAAACTGGATTTTAAATATCCTTCTAAACATTACTGAGGTATTAGTCAAAATATTAACTTTGCAATTAAAAACCCTTTTGATGATTACTCATATAGTTATATTACAATATTTTAATTATGAGTCTTATTGTTCAATTATCTTGCTTTCAAGAGAAAAGTCTCTAATGGTTGAGGCATTTGAAATTAAATACTTTATTTTCTAATAGGGATGGTTGAGAAAATTAGCCTATACCCTAGCTTACCCTATGACATATATATGAGCACAAGTAATTTTATCCTCTAAGAGATCAAGAAAATTAGATGAAATGTGTTTAAGTTCAGGACTGTGAGATAATATGTTATAATTATTCTGTTAATTTTGGAAACATGTAAAGAAAGGTGACTGTGAGTGACAATAAATACTAATTGTTCACATTTCCTCTGTTTAGCAGGTAGGAAGATATCAGTTATTTGAGTGGATTTGAAAATGTTGAAAATAATGTCAAGGAGTTTTACATGATAAATCTTTTGAGTAATCATATAGTTCCACATGCCTTTCAGCTAACAATTTTCCTTTTTTGATTTAACTTTCAATAGTTACAGTATTAATTAACTCTTTCCATACAGGCTAGGTGCATTGCACCTAATTTGTAATTGTTAAAGTAACCATGAGATTAGCCATACTATACCTTTTGATAACATATGTGTATATTCATGAAATTTTGCAGTCTATCAGTAAACATTACAAGTCTTTTGCAGCACTCTCATTGGTGGAGGGTTTTGCATAGTAATTTGCATGAGACACACATTGGAATGAGTCGTTTCCAATGGAGGGAAGGCAAAAGGCTTGTGGCATGCATTAAAAATATTTTTTTACACAGAGGGCAGCACTGAATGAGAATAGCTAATTATGTGGGAAGAGGTAAGGTACCTTATCGGAATCAGGAAGCAATTAAGAAATAACCTTAAAACCAACCACAAAAACAACAGAGAAATGTGTTTAAGTTAAATTATGTCTCAAGAATTTATTTATGGTAAAGAATCAAATATCTAAACTGTATATGTGATGCATGATATAATTGCCACAGTGACAAGTGCAATTTGATGTATAAAGGAAGTAAAAAGCAGCATCTAAAATAAAGAATAGACAGCACACATCTCAGAAATTGTGTACTATTTACTAACATAAAGTAAAACAATGTGATCCTCCAGTATATCAAGTGCAATCTAACTCATAACCAGAGCATACCATGAAAAGATACCAAGAATCAGAACTTACTTATTGCACTTTTGGACAATTCAAAATGAAAGTTTTTAGGTAATATAATAATTAATAAATATAGAAATATAAATTTTTCTCCAATTGAACTTACCCTAGGTTGAGTTCAGACTGAGCATTCCTGTTTGTATAATTCACTAGTGCATTGAAAGACTGGTTAACCCACTGCCAAAACACTATAGCTGAAGTTGTCCTGTAAACAGAAACTGATGTATCTGTATGATATCAAGAAACTAGTGATAATACGAAATGAAGTTTTCAAGATCAAACTTTTAAACAAAAGCTGATGAAACATAGCTAATTCAAAATTAATTAATGTATAATGGATCTTCCTAATTTTTATAGCTTATTTCTGCACTACCATGTCCATCAGATCCCAACCCACCTGATGAGCCCTGTTATTGGACAAAAGGCTTTGTCTACACTGGATATTTCAGATGTAGTGCGGTTGACATATTATAAAATATTCTTCTTTGCTTTCATTCACAAATTCTTAGAATTACTGAACAGTTTGTTGATGATAATGTTTGTAGTCATACTTTATATAGTTTTTATGATTTATTTTGCTTGATATGTACAGAATTAGAAATAATTAAGGAAACAGTATATAATATAGTATTAAAATGCAAATGTTATAGGATTTCTCTCCCTCTATTAAATGAAATAGAAATTAATAGTTTACACTGTGAATGGCTGTCATCCAACCAATATTTGGCAGTCTTTCATTAAAGATTATGTCTTTCACATATAAAACATCAAATTTGTCCATAAATATATGGAGTATTAAAATTCAATGACGAGGAACCCACTTTGAGACTAATAATGGCTGGAGACGGCTTGAATGGGAAATGAAGAAAAACTTTAATATAACAGCAAATGTACAACGTTTCGACAAGGTTTTGTGCTGTTATATTAAAGTTTTTCTTCATTACCCATTCAAGCCGTCTCCAGCCATTATTAGCACAAATTAACTAATATTTTCATCTAATTTTTCAAGTACACAACGTTTTGGATAGAACCTCTTCCTCAGATGAACAGATTTTGAACTAATCTGAGGAAGGACTTCCGCCCTAAACATATTGAACTTGAAAATTGAAATAACAGTTAATTTGCGTTGAATTTTACCGTATCAAAGTTACATTAAAGTAAGTATTCAATAAAATGCTTAATTATTTGGTTTTCGTAATTATTCTTACGTCAAATTAATCTACCAACAACGTTCTTCTGACTACTAATCTGACAATTATATTAATGACTAACTTATTTTCAAGTCAGAATAATCTGACAGTAATATTATTCTGACTACATTACTCTGACGTCCAAGTGATTTAACAGTCACAGTATTCTTACTACTTTACTTTCATGTCTAAGTGATTTAACATTCATATTATTCTGGCTCCATTACTCTCACGTCCAAGTTATTGAACGGTAATATCATTCAGACTACCAAGAAAAGTTAGACATGAACTGCAGGTGCGGGGTTTTCACTATTGTTTAGACCTGGAAATGAACATGTTCGTTACTGTCAGCGTTACGTTTGGAAAATAATATTACTATTATCTTTAGTGTAACAGAGACAACATGATTTCTCTAATTCAATCCGATATCAATATTAGTCAGTGGCCAACAATATAACCCGAATATTAACATTACTCTCGCCTTAGACATTTATATTGTCCTTCTCGGGAATTAATGCCTGAAACTAATATAATTACCATGATAATGTTCTGAACATGTCGGTTCTAAGACTACTTTCGCTGTTAACTGAACATGATTTTTGTAATAACTGAGCAAGTTTATCTAAACTGCACATTAACCGAACTTTCATCTTCAAATGAATTACATTATTCTAATCACCTGATCACTATTATTGTTCTCACCATCAAGTGAATCGGATATTAACATTACGTCATTACCTAATTCCGATACAATAGACACGTGGTATATTTTCATCCGAATCAAAGTAAATATTAGTAACAACTGCAACTCGTCACGAGTTTAATCACTGACTCTGAGCTTGCTTCAAATATCTCACGAGACTGCCATAACTCTCTTTATTAGCTGCCAACTTAATGTTAATTGTAAAATTAATCTCTTTTTCTACTAAACCACAGAATAAAAAACACTTTCATTAGCAACAAAATTTGTGTATTAACATAACCCCCACTTACATTATTGACACTAAAATAACTCCCCCTTTGAAGTGAAGTAAAATAGAACGCGAGAAGTAGGGTTGCTGAGTGTAGAGCTTCGCCCCTACCATTTAAAAAAATATACGCCCCAGCCCTATTTTCAGAACCCTCAGTTTGAAATTCGTTCCCGCGTTTGTGTTCACATCATTTGACTAATTTCATGTTTAACAGAACTTTCAGCTACGTCATTATGGCCTCCATCAACTGACGTTACTGTCAAAGCTGCTAAATCCCATCAATTAACGTAATTTGAATATGGCCTTGATCCTAGTTGGCAACGCCATCATGAATGCATAGTTGATAAGACACGTGCTTTTTATCTTAAGTGACATAATGAAGACATGAATAAGAAATAGTGATATATATATATTAGTAGCCTAGTGAAGGAGAAGTGAAACAGGAAAGAAAGAACTGAACCCTCTTTTCATGGACTTCAAAAAGTAATATATTTTATATTTTTAACACAGGCTTTCATATTTGTGTTTGTATGATAAAAAAATTCAAGCTAATAAAATTTTAATTACTACGAATTAATAGTTTTTATGCTTCTGTTTTACTTCAAAAAGTGTGTATTGCGTTTCGAAATATTTTATTATAGTCGATTAACAAACAAGTAGCGTAAACTGGGAAGTTTTACAGAAAAACAATTATTTGATGCACTAAAAAACAGATGCATGAAAAAAGGTCAGTTGTTTATAAAAAAATTGTTAAACATATGTATTTGAAAAACAATTATTTTCACACTTAAATATAAAAACAATTTCATTTGAATATAGAATTTGTACCATTCTTTACTTTGACAGTCTGCTTTATATAATGTTGAATTTGTACCATTCTTTATTTTGACAGTTTGTTTTTATACAATGTAGAATTTGTACCATTCTTTACTTTGACAGTCTGTTTTATATAATGTTGAATTTATACCATTCTTTACTTTGACAGTTTGTTTTCATATAATGTAGAATTTGTACCATTCTTTACTTTGACAGTTTGTTTTATACAATGTAGTATTCGTACCATTCTATATTTTGACAGTTTGTTTTATACAATGTAGTATTCGTACCATTCTATACTTTGACAGTTTGTTTTATACAATGTAGTATTCGTACCATTCTATACTTTGACAGTTTGTTTTATACAATGTAGTATTTGTACCATTCTATACTTTTTTATACGTTATAGAATTTATACCATCGTATACTTTGACAGTTTGCTTTATAAAATGATGTAGAATTTGTAACGTCGTTTATTTTGGTAGCTTGTTTTATAGGATGTAGACTTTTGCCATCCTTTACTTTGACAGTTTGTTTTATATAATGTAGAATTCAGCGCAATTTTGTTAATAATTAATAATTTTAACTACAATCAATCTAGTTCATGAAAAGGAGAGACACACAAAAAAATAATACTTATAGAAAGTGCATCTTCTCTAACAGGAAAGAAGCATTATTAATAGAAACACCTATATAAATACAAGAAATGACACAGCATGTAATATGTTAGATACCACCAACTGACAATAATATCGTAAATTGTTTTTAATTAAATACAAAATAACCAGATAAATCATACGTTTAACAAATAGTTTTGAAACATGACTTAACATTTCTAAATTAGTTCATTTCTCTTATACTATTGAATATAATATTCCGTACTTTTCCTTCTACATAAGTTATTGAATACTAATTTAATGATTTTTTAAGTAGTATTTATTATCAAAGCATTAGTTACAGTTTCGTCGCTGTGAAATTCCTTGTTATTTTTATAAATTGTTAAAGAGTATAATAATTTTTTGTCATAAACGTAAAATTAACCACTAAATACTAACGTATTACATAAATATTTAATATTTTGTTTTTACGAAATAACTGTTGTACAGGATCTCGATAGTTTGAAGCCAAAATTACCCTCATAAGTCTTTTCTTAATAAGCAATAAAGGATTTTTATTCTGATGAACCTCCACAACAAGTATTCAGGTATATTAAATGTAGATAAATAAAAGTGCAATATAAAGACATCAAACATTTCTTAGCAACTAGACGTCTTATTTTGTTAGTCCTACCTACCTATCTTGCAACAATTTTTCTAATACTTCTTATGTGCTCAGACCAATTTGATTTATCATCAATTGTTACACCCCACATTGTTACAGATAAAAATCTTTCAAAAACTACATATATTTACTTGCTTATTATTAGTATTTTTGTTGGGAAAAATTATAAAGTTGGTCTTTTCAATACTTACAAACAAATCATTATCACTAAGCCAATTTTTTAACCAATTTCTAAGCTATAGATGTGGTAAACTGTACCGTAGTGATACTTTGGCATCATTTTATGTATTGCTGTAACATACGTTGCAAAACATGCTTATGAACTGAATGCGTCCAAGTCAAAATTCCTGGAAGCTCACGTTTCTCATCCTAACTTTAAGGCTGCTAAAACATATCTGAGTGAGTTTCTGAACTTTCGAAACGCAAGCGAATTTATTTCTGTACAGAAAAAACAAAAATATCCCTACTGCTAATAACGCTCGGAGTGGCCATGTAGAAGCTGTGGAAAATGCCCTACGTTATATTCTGGCACGTTAGTGAAATGACCCACTAAGCTGAAAGGTGAGAATGTCTTTTTTTTTTTTTGCCTTTTTACTAAAAAAAAAAAAATAGATGAAGGTGTTTTTGCTTGTTTGTATTTTGAATTTCGCGCAAAGCTACACGAAGGCTATCTGCGCTAGCCGTCCCTATTTTAGCAGTGAAAGACTAGAGGGCAGGCAGGTAGTCAATACCACCCACTGCCAACTCTTGGGCTACTCTTTTACCAACGAATAGTGGGATTGACCGTCACGTTATAACGCTCCCATGGCTGAAAAAGCGAGCATGTTTGATGTGACGGGGATTGGATGCCTGCTGGAGAGCTATCAGCTTACAATCACTTAGCTCAACTGAGGGACTTCATGACCGTACCTCTTTTGCACATATTCTGGTAAGTCTCAGTAATCTTC